AAACACAGTCTTCGACGAGATCAACCCACCCTTTTCGTGACTTGAGAAACGATGACTTCGCAGCCGTTCAACTACACTCTGTTGTCTATCTTCATTGATTCCAATCATCCTCTCTTTATTGCTTTGTCTTTTCTTCCTAATTGTTCAAGCGCAAATTCTCTTGATGGATTCAGGATAATGGACCGACTCCTACATGCTTTCGGCTATTTTAATGGTGCTAAGGTAGATGTACTTGAAGAAGTTCGGCCAAAGGAAGAGGTACTGAAGAAGAGAAAGGATTTGATAGGGTAAGTCTTCAGATAAAGAAATGAAATTATGTTCTGTGTTATTGTAAATACATTGTTTGCTCGCAAAAAATGAGTATCGCCACAGCGAGGAAGAAGATTTTGGAAGCTGTCTGCTATCAATCAAATGCTTGTTATATTCAAAATAGATATCAAAGGAGCGCGACAGATACTTGTATTGAAAATTTCTGATAGAATCTATGACGATTTACCACACTTCATGCTAAGTGCTTTTCAAAGCCAGCTAAAATTATTTATGTTGGTTTTCTTAGGTTTTTGAATCCTCTTCGTAGCAGGTGTCAAATTTTTCTTTGAGCTAAACAACATTTTTTTCGAATATCACATACTAGAAAAGTATGACAGTTCAGTTGGTTTAGATATCGTTATTTGAGAAATTGAAGACCAAAGATTACGCGTTGCTTGTTGATTGCCTTTGAGCATTATCGTGATTGCGTCAAGGCCACTGCACTCATAGATGACGAGAGAATATGAGCTCACGTGGACTCTTATGACTTTGATTGTATCTCTGGGACTAATTACTGGAGTTAGACATCATAAAAAGCAGTATATGCTGAACAGAAGGCCTTTGTCTGCAATATCTAGTACATAGCTCATAAAATTATCATGGTATGTAAATCTGCGGCGTAATTACCAATAAAATAGTATTTTTATGAATGAAGGTTTGTAAAAACGAAGTCAACGCGAATCTTATAAACGTAGATGTTTATTTTGGCTTTCGAGTATTTGACAATGTAGTGAGGAACAAAACTTATATCTTCAGAAGAATAGTAGATGGAGAGAAGCTTTACTTGCTCATTATTTTATAGATATGTTGACAGACCGTCATTCAATTGTGAG